AGGATGGCGTTATAAGCGGCGGGGAGGTCGATGACCAAGAAGTTGGTCATCGTCGTCTTCGACTTTGGCGGAACTCCCAGGGTCAGAGGCAAAGTAACCGTTCCCAGCGGTGAGACTGAGTCACCGGTGAAGCCGGTGAGTGCCGAGGACACCGGCTTCATGCTATCTCTGGGGAGGCCGAGCTTCCGGTAGGCGTCGAGGTATAGTATGTCGGCCGAGCTTCCGGTGTCGACCATGATCCTTTGTACTTGCGCGTTAGCGATCCTGGCCGATATCACGAGTGCATCATCGTGTTCGGCCTGTTCATATGCCCCGGTCGGGAAAGTGACACTGGGTCCGGGCGTGTGTCCGGGGGCCTCGGCTGAGGCGGCTCGGGCGTATGCCTTCTTGCGGGCCATGGAGTCTCCGCCGGATGCGGGGCCGCCTGATATCACGTCGATCCGCCGCTCGACGGGTCCTTCCGGGCGAGGAGAAGATTCTTTGTTCGGGCGGAGATATTGGTCGAGGTGCCCCCTGTGAATGAGTTCCTCGATCTGCTTCTTCAACTCCCGGCATTGTTCGGTGTCGTGCCCACGTTGCCGGTGAAAGCGGCAGTACTTCGACTGATCTGCCAGTGCCCGAGGGCCACTCATCGGGTAGGGTTCCTTGAGCAAACCTTTTCCCCTTATATGAAGGAATATGTCTGTTTGAGATGAATTCAAGGCCGGCAGGGGGGGCCTCGGAACCGTCGGGTCAGATCTGTCCGACCTGCGCCGAGATGTTGGCGGCTGTTGCTGCCGAGGCGGCTCCGATTTGGCTCCCCTGTGTCCCCTTGGTTTTCCGGCCATCCATGTCTCTGCCGCGACGAATTGGCTCGCCCGTTGAAGCATCTCTGGCACCGTTGTGGGCGGTCGTTCTACCAGGGACCAGAAGAACCTGGAGGGTCGTAAGCCTATCGTGAATGCCTGCATCAATAGGGAAGGATGAGCGTCCGAGAGCCCTCGGATCTGTGTCGTGAAGCGGTCCAGAAAATGGGAAAGGGGCTCATCTTCCCCTTGGTTGAGTCCGAGGAGTAGCGCCGTGGATGGCTTTGGGCGGGCGTAGGCGAGGAAGTTGAGCTCAAAATCCCGGGCGAGTTGGTCGAAAGAGGAGATGGTTCCTGCCTTGAGGCTACCGTACCATGCGCGGGCCGGCCCCCTCAAGGTCGTCGGGAATGCCCTGCACATTAAGGCGTCAGAGGTTCCGTACAGCGCCATTTGGGCGCGAAACGCGGCTACGTGATCCGCGGGGTCGGCGGCGCCGTTGTAGGCGTCCAGGGATGGGAGCCGAAAGTGCTGCGGGATAGCCTGATCTTGTATTTCGGGCGCGAATGGGGATCCTTGATACCCTTCCGTTCCGGGCTCTCTCTTCATCCTGCGAACTTCTTGTTGTACCTCGTTCAAGCGTTGATTAAAGAGATGCAGTTGCGCCTGCAAGGCGTGGGTTGAGTTCTCGGGTGGCCATTCGGGCTCGGGGCGACTCGACGTGCCCACGGTTTCCCGATCCCTTTGCCGAGTCGCTTGGTTTCGGGGTGACCGAGGAGGCCTGGGGGGTGGCGCGTGCTCCCGAGGGGCAGGCTCCCATTGGTGCACGGGCTGGTCGGTTTGCGGGGGTTCCGGCTGGGGGATGAGCGGAACAATGGCTTGCACCATGCCTGCCAGTGTCCTTACTTGGTGGGCGAGGTCGTGGAAGGCCTCGGGGGAAACTGACGGGGGGACGATGGTGGCGTCGGGTGGTGACAGGCCCGGATCATTGAACAGGCGCCAGTATTGCTCCGAAGTCGAAGCGAGGCGCCCCTCTTGGGGCTCTTCCCGTGGAGGATGACCTCTCGCAGCCGGGGAATCGCCGGGGCGGGTTTGCTGGCCAGTCGACATTCCGGGCCCTCCTTCTAGCGCCAAAATGTTACGGTCAGTAACTGTTCAGCCGTGGCCTCGGGGCCGTCGCGGCTTGGTTCGGGTCCGGAAGGCGGTGGCCTCCGTGGGGGGTGCTCCTTGAGCCTGCTGAATCTCCGAAGGCGGTGATCTTCGAAGGCTTCGCTCCTGCACAAAGGTCGGGTCGGGGTGCTCGGCCTGACCCCTCCGACGATCAAGTTAGCGAAGGACGTGGAGGGGGTTTCGGAGGAGGAGAAACCTCCGTGTCGTCTCTTCAGAGAGTTGAGAGTCCCCCCTTTTGTTTAGGACTTGGGGGTATTTATGGAGGGATCACGCGTTACCTGACTTGACCGCCTGCTGGGGTGAGGCGGTACCTCTGATGGTGTCTGACGCGGCCGCTGGGGTCGCGTGGCGGAGTGGCTCGTAGCAGGGTATGGGCGAGGGGCAGGTTGTTGTCCGGCCTGGCCGTGGTCAACCATGCAGGGTCGGGCGTCGCCTCTCAGCAGCGGGAGTCGTCAGGGCGAGTCTATTCGGCGTTATTGCTTTGGCCGGGGGCTGTCGTCACGGTGCGTCAACGTGGTGCCATTATTTTCCCTATCAACTTGGGTACGTAACTCGGGGTTCAGCCGGAAGCGCGCCGCGTAGCCGTCGAGGTAGCGAATGAACTGCTCCTTGGGGATGAACGTCGGCGTGGTCGCGGGGTGGGGCATGTGCGGCAGGGCGCAGTACTGCTTCGCCAGGTGGAGCTTCATCCGGTCGTATGACCGCTTCCGCCACAATGAAGCGACGCAGTCTTCCTTCTCAAGGATGACGAACGGGACGGAGAGAAGGAAGAGGCAAGCGGCGACTGCAAGACCGGTTGGCCCTGCTCCCACGATCACCACAAGGCTCTCCATCACTTCTGCTGCTGCTGTCTATTGCAGCATTTACATAAAAGGAGGCTGCATGCATATGAGCTTATCCATACACCACAATCTCTTCTCGTCCTATTAGCTTCGGGTAGGAAGCGTTACACCTCTCCGAGCAGCGCGTGGAAAGGACTTGGAGAGTCCTCACTCTGCTGGCTGTGGGCAGTTCTCAAGCTTCATACAAGCAGCTTGTCGAGTACTTCCGAATGCAGTATATGTTTCCACCTTTTTTAGTGAGAAGAAAGGAGGATTCAAATAGAATTTTTGCGAGATTTAATTCGATATTCGAATTGCATACTTCTTTAGATGGTGAATCGTAAACCATGTTTCTTGTTTTTGTCTTGCAGTACTGCAAGTATCATGCGATTGGATTGCTGTGCAAGTTGCAAACGTTCGAGAGGTATTGACATCTAACAAAAGTTTCGCTCTTTAAGTGTTTTCAGACAGGTTTTTCTTGGTTCAATCAGCACCTTATAAAGCAAATGTTGTTGTAAAGCAAGTATTTCTAGAGGCTTGGAGAGCAATTGAAAGTGATAGAAGATAGAAATTATAGAAGAAGCTGTATATGTTCTCTCAATTTATACATGTTAGGAGGAAGAATTTTTCTCAATACAGCAGCAAAATTTTCTCATACAGTAAGAAAAATCTTATATGCTATCATACCCCCGTAAGATGATACTCCTATCAAGGATGTCGATCTTGGGCCGATGCAATATAAATAGTTTATGAGCGAGAGGTTTCATGAGTGAGTCTACTAGCCGTATGTATATGAGAAACATGCAGTTGATGTCAGACAACTTGATCTCGTACGAAGTGGAAGTCAATAGCAATATATTTCATGCGAGAGTGAAATACCGGATTGATGCATAGATAAGTAGCTCCGACATTATCACAATATATTGTAGAAATAGGAGTTGAATTGATGTTGAGTTCCTTGAGCAGATTTGTGACCCAATTGAGTTCCGCAACACTAGTAGCGATAACACAGTATTTAGCTTCAATTGTAGACCGTGCAATTGTCTTTTGCTTCTTAGAACTCAAACCGATTGGATTGTTGTGTAAGGTATAAACGTTAGAGAGGTATTGACATCTAACAAAAATTTCACTCTTAAGTGTTTTCAGGCAGGTTTTTCTTAGTTCAATTAGTACATTGTAACGCAAGTATTTTTAGAGGCCTAATATGAAATAAAATTACTTAGAGAGCAATTGAAAGAACTCCTTGAAGTCTATAATTTGATTGTTCTATAAATAGTGTTGATGAGAGGGAGATGTAGTAACATCATATATATCTCTCAATGGTTTCTCTAATAGTAAATAATTCTTTATTTGTAGGGGTAATATTTGTGATTTTAACAAAAGCAAACTCCCAACGACACATGTCAGTCACTTATTAGCTCGGTGTAGGGCTGATGTGGCAAATTGAGTCTCGTTTCTTAGAGCAACTACATATCAAGGAAAAGAGGTTTGTGACATTATGGGTAAATTAGGTGGGAATCCAAATCCACTTAGGAGTAACCCCCAACCTTTAATGATGAGCTTATCCATAGGATTCTTTTGAAGGAAGCTCATGCCTCCTTAACCCACATCATAAGCATCATTAGTAGAAGATGCATTTCTAAGACATTGGAAGAGCCCCACTTTCCTCATTATCAACCAATAGCTCCCCATGCACAATACAAAAGATCAAAATACATACGTAAACAAACAAAGTGCATCAAGTTAGGACCATGTTTTTGTCGTGGCACAAAGCCTAACCACACCACAACTTAATGGGTTTCCAAGCAAAGTGGAAGATGACCTATCCATCCAACAAAAACAAGTGTTTCTACATGGCCACATGCCCAAATCTTCACATGCATCACTGACTTCTTTAGAGGAAGGTGAAGGTGGTGGGGGGGAATGAGTGGTAGAGCTCAATTGTTACTCGATCATCAAGCAAAGATGACAGGCACACATCTCTATCATTGAAGTGAACTGTGTGTCACTTTAGACACTATCGTAAACAGTAAAATCTTCAAGAAAATATAGACATTATCAATGTATATATTAAGTTTCTTTTGCTTTTTATTCTCTTGATTAGATGTGAATTCTGTTGTAGGATATACTAAGATATATATGTTGAAGGAAGAAACTTTCTGTGAAGTCCTCACTAGAAAATGCAAATGCTTGGCAGGCAATAATTATTGGTTGGCAAGCAATTAAGTTGGCATTAAGGCTCCATCAATATCATATGGTATCAGACAGATGAAAACATCTCAATCGTGCAAGCTTGGTGGTCCAAGCACCTAGCTGAGAATTTGAAGAGCTCAAGTAATCTCCACTTCCATCTACTATTTTAGGCTTATCCCATTGACGACACAGATGACCTAATGCTTGTGTATCCTCCACCCATCAAAGAAAGAAAAAGAGAAAGAGAGAACAAAAGCAAGCACCTTGCTTTGTGGCAGAACAAAGCCACTGAGATCATTCATTATATACACGTTAAAGAAGGTGATCAAACAAATAGCTTCATAGAAGTATGACAAGTCCTCAGTTTGGCAAGCTTATCTCATCAATGTCATCCAAGGACAAGAACACCTCGTCCAGGCACGAGAGCTCCGAGCCGCCATCGTCGTGGAAGCTCGACTGCGAACCGCCGGTCGACTCGTAGACTCGGCACACGACCCATCTGTTTGATTCCTGCACGGCGATCGTCGTCGTTGAATGAACGAGACGCGGTTCTTGCATTGCCTGAGCTGAATCACTTACTTTCTTCCTTGTGCCGCCGTCGCCGGTGCTGTGAAGAACACCGTCATCCAGTAGATGGTACTCGTGCATCAACCAATTGGTTTTGACGCCCTCAGGTGCTTCGCCCAGGTAGTATCTGAGGGTCTTCTTCACCCCGACATCGACGCAACTGCTAGCTATCGTCTCGTGATCGGTGCCGACGGCGTGCCAGTAGCCAGTAGCCGTCGCTCTGCTCTGGGTTGTGTGGGTGAAGAAGTACCAGTGGCGGTTTCCTCCTTGAAGAGCTTTACCTTCGAAGACACAGTACATACGTCTTATATCGCATGCATGCAACAACACGAAACGAAGCTAGTAAGTATACGGGCCAGGTTGCTGACCGCCGAGGTCCCACGGATCGCAGTGGTGGAGGTCGATGGTGGGGATGATGTCGGGATGGCACGGGAGCAGCCCGGCTTTGCGGTGGAGGAAGTGGAGGACGAGCTCTTCGTCGGAGGGGAAGAACTGGAAACCAGGTGGTAGGCTGCTGCTTCCTTCTCCCATGCTCTGGTCGAACAACAGCGTCAAGGGAGAAGACTGATCATCCGTGGAGTGGAAGCTCCATGTACATTTATAGTGCGAGAGACAGAGCGGTGGAGAGTGCTTCGAGGTGGCTGCTAATTAATAGATCTTGGTTTTCCTTTAGATAATAGCTATCGATGTGCTACGGAATATACATTAGTGTTCCACGAACGAGATCGCAACATCTTGTCAAATGGACTTTTCCTCTGAGAAAGGCACGCAAAGTGTCACTTGAAAACCATCGAGGGAGAGGGAGAGAGAGAGAGAAAGAGAGGAAAGTGATGTGATTGTGATCGAACAGTTCGTATTAACAAGAAAAAGGTGATGGAACCCAATGGATGATGATTACAGTATGGGAACAAGAGGGGCTCCATTGATACTACAGTATGTTTAAGCAATGATCTTACGTAGCAGTATATATATAGTATCCAATTGTTTAAGAGATATTAAGAAAGAAGACTCGAAGAATTAATTTTTCATCAAACAGTCGAATGATATACACTTAAATCTACTTTATAATTTAATAATTTAATTTTGAATTAAATTAATGTCTAACCTGATATATATTATTAGTTTGACTAGTTTGACTCCGACCATAAGTGCTACGATTTGTAAGAAAGAAAACAGAGGAGTTAGAAAAAAAAAACTAAGGAGATTGAAATAAAGGATAATTATAAAAAAATAAAAATAGTTGGTAAGGAGTCGAGCAACGAGCTAGAAGAGAGCTTGCTGTAGGCAAGTGGCTCTGATACCATGTAAATAATTAAACGAAGAAGATAGAAGATGGAAATTATATAAGAAGCTATATTCCTCATTCAGATGTTACAGATTAGGAGGGAGGGTTTTCCTCAACAGAGCAGTACCTTAATGAAATATTTTTAGGAGTTAGTAAAAAAATAAAATAAGGATATTGAAATAATAAAAAAAAGAGGATAATTATAAAAAGAAAAAAGTTTTGAGTCAAGAAAAGATTAATAACTAAGTTAACAAAATTAATCCTATCAAATAGTCAAACTTATGATTGCGAATAAAGTTAATAGTACTCCTACTAAGCTAAGGTTGAGAATAGGATTGATTTGCACAGGACGAGAGAAAAATTATTGAGCCACACATAAATAAGAAAATATTCAGGTATAAAGAGAAATTAAAATAGGGGACCAAAAACATAAACCACATGTTAGTAAATATAGAGAGATTTTAAATTAAATTAATACCTAACCTGATATATGTTATTATAATTAATCTATAATCGCCAAGATATGTTGGACTGCTGAGGCAGGCATCTATCTGAGCGTGGTGGAGGCTCCAATCATGCTTTCCGTGTCTCTGAAGTCATCCTTCGGTCCATCGTATCGGAAAATGACGTGTTATGTTCTGAACGGTGGGGATGTCGTGTATATACACAGCTCAGACGACAAGCTGAGGTCGTTTCTCTTTGTCATTTTCGAGAGCCTGCACGCTAAGAAGAACAGTATATATGTTGGCTCTCGAATGGAACGACGAACTCACCTTTCTGATACACTGTAGATTTGAAATGCCACCCTATACAAGACCCGATCTGAGAAGATAGAAGACCGACATTGCCAGAGATCCAAGCAAACCGGTCGCTGTGATGCTACGAGACAACCATAGCCAAGAAAAAGATGAGAGGTCTTTGACGAAGATAGAAGACTTGTTGGTCTTCGTTGGAGACAGAAGATTCTGCAATAATTCCACCCGTATTTGAATTTACTTAGCAGCCTTGACTTTCCAGCAAATCATCAACCCCACCTGGCAGTAATCCAGGCAGCATGTGAATCACACACTGTAGCAGATTTTACATGAGCATTTGCTTCTCCACCTCTTCTCGTTCCTGTCTCCCACAGTCATGATCACTGGCCAGTTCAGTTTTGATGATGCGAAGCACAGATCATGGCACCCAGAGCTGGGTATGGCGCATGGCATGCTGGAGTCTGCTTACGAACTCACGCCCGGGGACATGGTGGAGTCAGCGAGGCCAGAGATAGAGAAAGACCGGCGGTGGAGGGGAGATGAGCGGTAAGAAGAATAACAAGGCAAGGAGAAGGATGTCGAGGAGTGAGAGCATGCAGAGTGGGGGTTGCCTTCTTAAGATGTTCTTCCTCTTCTCTCCTGGAGATGCTGGCAGATGGAGAGAGGTGGAGAGGAACGAGCAAGCAAACTCCTTTCCCTGCAGCTGCATGACCTTATTGCATACAGAAAAGGGTTGCGGATTCACTGATGCAGAGTAATCTGCATATAACAAGAAAGATTAAGATCTAAAACTATACTCTTTAAACATGTTCCACCTTTTTGCAGGAGACCAACGAGCTGTTTCTTCCTTCAGCCATGGAAACTCATCTCCATCCCTGCTTTGAGTCTGGGATTGCTTGCTATTATTCTATGGTCAGAGGATTGTTGCCAAAACATAGCAGCAGAATGCATCTTTGCCTCTGCATTTGTATCATTATCCGGCATGAGAACTGCGGCAGGTGTGCTTACAATTAAGTAGTGTTTAAGAAGAGGCAATTGTATGGGAGAGAGTGTATATATATATATATATATATAAATAAATAAATATATATATATATATATATTCCAATTATAATATTTTTACATTGTGTTGTAACAATTTTAACGATACCAAAAACACACGGTAACATAGAACAAAAGCATGATAATAATTTTAATTAATTATAAAAATATTATAAAACAGTATAAAGATGTTATAAAAAAATATTAAGAAAGAGAGAAAAATATGATGACCTGATATATGTTAAAATTTTAATTAGATGATTACGAATCTCTAGAAACCTAAAATAACATGGAAGTGCCGAAATATATGATTTAACACTGGCAAGGAAGCATAAGCTTTGCACGAGCCCTCAAATCGGTTTCTAGTTGCTCTAACAACACGCTTTCATGTGGGGAAAGTCAAAGTCAAAGTCAAAGTCAAAGTCATCGAAATTTATTTGGTTCAAAATACTTAAGCTCAAATTAATAATAGCATAATTCCTTATTATCGAACTAGGGTTTCACGCATGCAATTAAGGTCGAATTGGGTCTTAGCAGTCGATCGCGCAATCAGAATTGGTGGCTTTGACCTTTTGCGCTGTGTGTGGACAGAACGACCACCGCGGCACTGCAGAATCAACAAACACGCAGAAGCTAAGCAATCAATCAAAGTCCGTGTTTGGGATCTTCTCTTCTACCCCGACGACTCCTTCCTTCCACTTCCACTTTATTTTTTTATTGAAGTCGGCTCCTTGATGGTCAAATCCTTCTCTCTCTCTGTTTTGTCTTTATAATTCCTCCCCAAGATAAGAATCCAAAAGACGGACCCTTCTTCGCCCTTCTCTCTTCCCGTCTCCCTCTCCTTCGGCGTCAAGGTAAACCCTTTGCCTCTGGGATCCTGTCTGTCTGTGTCATCCTATCGATCCGTGGGTTCTTTAGATTTATGTTGACTTTGATTGCGTCTATATGTTCTTGAAGGAAAAAAAAGAGAGAGGATTTTGAGGGTTCTGGGTGGTCGATTTGGATATGATGGTAAAATTTGTGGTTCTCGGTGTTCATATTGGGTTCGATTTGCAGGCCTTTTCGTGATGGCTTCGGCTGCGGCGTGTGCGGAACGGGCGACGAGCGATATGTTGATCGGCCCGGATTGGGCGATCAACATCGAGTTGTGCGACATTATCAATATGGATCCTGGGTAAGGTTCTTGGCTTGTTCTTTCCCTTTGGTAGAACTAGCTTTTGGGGGGGTTTTCATTGGTTGATTCGGCATAAAGTTTCAGTTTTTGTTGGGAGTACCTAATCAGATGGATGAGCAACTTTGAGGTTCCACTGCTAACGCATCCAACGGTCTACCTTTTCCAAACTTTAGGAATACCCAAGCTTTTTGTGATGGAACTGGCATGACCTCACCAGTATTGGGAGTCCGAATGCATTAGTTTATGGTCATATATTTCTCTTACATAAATTGCCTGAGCACACATTGGTTTTATTTGAAATGGACGTTTGACGTTATCTGCTAATTCTGGATTGCTCTTATCTAAGTACCTTGAGTTCCAAGAAAAAAGAAAAAGTTTCACTCCTTATAGATGATGAATAATAAATATATAAGAGCAGATATATGAGCCTAATGGACATGATAATAAATATTAAATGTATACATCCAAATCAATGCCTGAATGCACTAGTTTTTGGACATATATTTCTCTTACATAAATTGCCTGAACACACATTGGTTTTATTTGAATGTACGTTTGACTTTTTCTATCTGCTAATTCTGGATTGCCCTTATCCAAGCACCTTGAGTTCTAAGAAAAAAAAAGTTTCACTCCTTATAGATGATAAATCATAAATATATAAAAGAAGATACATGAGCCTAATGGACATGATAATAAATATTAAATGTATACATCCAAATCAATGTCTGGACTTTAGATTGTACTCTATTTTCCCTCTAACATATAATTCCATCACCTCAATGACTTGATGAAGGCGTTGCATCCTGAAGGCTATAGATTTGTCACCATACTTATTGCTTTATCACTGCAAACAATGAGGCAACTGACCATTTCTACGATGCGAGTAACCTTCTTAGAGAGGCAGCCAATTCTGCTTAACCAATTTTTTAGAGAAATATCTTTTTTTAGTGTGCTTTATTTTTGTTGTCACGAGCTCTGGTCAAAATGTTTTAAGTTAAAGTTGATAGTAGTGCACTTATCAAATTTTTATAAGTCAATCTTAGTCTTTTTCACTTCTGATGTGGGACTAATCAGGGTGTTATAATTTTTCCCGCTTAGGGGTTTGACATCCTCATTAAGGCCTAGCATAACCCAAATTAAACCCTAGCATGGTGCATGTGAGACATAACTCAGTGGTGGCCTCATGTCGTGACTAGTCCTTTGACTCCATTCATGGATAGTCGTGTCATACTCGAGCTTCCTCACAATGCCCAAATATTAGGTCGGCTTTGATACCAAATGTTATGACCCGGGCTTGATGGGTTAACTGGCCTATCAACTTTGTTTGATTTAAATCACTGGTCAAAATGCTTAAGCTGAATTTGATAATAGTACACTTATTAGACCTTTATAAGTTAATCTTAGTCTTGTCCACTTCCGATGTGGGATTAATCGAGGTGTTGCATTTGTTGTTCTAAAAAATGTTAGGATCATGCTAGTAAGTAACTGATATTTTCCTTTATAAAGATTCTTCTATGAATCTCCCTTCTGATGGTCTGTGGAGGTTTCTGATTTC